GAGTTTTTTTGGCAGTGGAAGAACGACTCGAATTTGCCAATGGCTTACGGCATTGCCGCAAGCCTGCGGTCTCCTACGGTGCACCAGATGGGCGCGTGTCGACGGTGCCAATTCGGAGATCCATCCCACCGGCTGATCAACGGCGTACCAGGCAGAGCCTCGTCTAGACGATGCCGATGCGACGTTCCACCACCAACCGGCTGACCAGCGGTGTGTCAGACAGAGCCTCGTCACGACGGCGCCGACGCGGTGTTCCATCCGACCAACCGTCCACGGAGTCCGCAGTCACCTGTGCACGCGGCACAACGCGTACAGGGAGTAACCGCCCTCACCTGGTTTAGCCCGCCGGTCGAGGCGGTTGCCCGGGGTGTGGCCGCTGAGCAGAGCCCAGCTACGTGGAGCCACAGATGAGGGTTGAGTGCCAGCAAGTGGACGCTAGGCGTAGTCTCACCTGCAAGCAAGTGAGCGACCACTACGACCTTCACGTGAACCCACCGCTGACACCCCTACACCCCGTCTCGAGGCGATAGGAATCCAGATGCGGTCAGTTACATTCATCCGAATCCATCCGAGGATCGGGCAAGGGAGATGCGACCAGACTACTAGTATATGGCGAATACAGAAGGCTTCGCCAAGAGCGTCGATGGAGCGCATTCTGTGAGGGCACGATGCATGAACTGAAAAATTTGAAAAATTAACATTTCTGGTGAGGGATCTTAGGAAGCGAGACTACTCACAAAGGAAGGAAATGTGAAGAGATACGGAAATTTAATGGCGGCATACTAAATTCCCGGTGGCCTTTCTCAGTGTCATAGAAATAGTTGTCTGGTAAGGATGAGGAAAATAAAAGTTTAGTCGAGTCAGTATTCAGATAAAGGCGTAGCCTTCTCTTAAATGTGTGTAGATTTTCTGAAGATCTTATATTTATTGGAAGGTTATTCCACAAGAAAGTATATCTGGAAGCGAAAAAAAGGGACCGCTTAGAGGTGGAGGACGCTGGAGGAGGTTTAATCAAGGACGAGTTGCGTAGATTGTATGGCGACTACTAGGGGTAAGTGCTGAAATTCGAGGAAGATTTGAACTATGATTACTGCGAAGGAGGAGACAGAAGCCCGCTTCTAGTCTTCGAACCCACAAAAATTTTAGGTTAATTAGCTGGCATCTATCTGAGTAGGAGATATTGGGATGTTCCTTATTTAAAAGTTCTTTAGAAAAACGTCTTTGGACATTTTAAATTTTTAAACTACTAGCTTCATTCATCAAACCAAAGAATGGGCAACAATACTCGAGAACGGGAAGTACAAACATACGATAGAGCCTTAAGTTAATTTCAGGAAGGTAGAAATTGTAAGAAATAAAGCCACATATCTGGGCAGCTTTGGCTGTAATTCTGTCAGCGTGTGGCGGGAGATCAAGATTACTAGTGTAACTTAAACCCAAATCCTTGATGGTGGTACATTCAGTCATAGGTGCGCCTTGAAAGATTACTGGTTGGGCTTGCCTATCAGGTCCAAAACACATTTAGCGACATTTAGACGGAGAGAATTCCATTAGCCATTTTGAGCTCCAAGCTGAGAGAGCAAGCAAGTCAGCATGGATTTGCTCCAGGCAATGAAGGCTCGGAGATTTTTTGAAAGAATATACACATTTGAGATCATCGGCATAAATAAATGATTGAGAATGTTGAACTGCTGCCGAAATATCATTTATGTAAAGCAAGAACAAAAGAAGACCTAAAACGGTACCTTGTAGGACACCACTTACAATAGGGCTTTCACTGGAAAGTGAAGATCCCACTAACACCTTTTGTTTACGATTTGGCAGGTATGACCTTCGACAGCACCCGTGCTTCTGATGCCACTTATATATGTGGGCAAGTAAGTTAAAAACGACTATTTGTATGCGCGTGCCCTGGCATGTATTCGGTTCCATTTGAAACCAGCGGTTATTAGCAGGTCTAACCCCTATTTAATGAATGATTATTATCCCAGGATTAGCGCTCGCTCTCTAAACAGTTGCAACCAGGTGCCCGCAAAGCGCGCTAAAAGCGTAACCACAGCAAAATCTGTTAGTTACGAGGACGAGCCGTGCACTGGGTGCTCCTATATTCTGCTGAAAGTCCAAAAACTTGAAAAAGAGCTGGCTGCATTAAAGGACCTCGCGCAAGCGAACGATGGGAGACAAAACTCGGACAACAGCGCTAGAGTAACCAAGACAAAGGGGAAGAGCAAAACTCCAAAACAGCCAAAGAACAAGGTTTGTAGAAAACCTCAGTGCAAGGACGCCGATAATAATGACGATGGGCAAATTGCGACAGAGTCTCCTGTTTCTACGGAAGACAACCGAAGTGAACCGTCAACTTCTCTCAGCCATTCCGCGTGTTCAGTAGTACCCTCGGTTGGAAGTGAGGAAACAAGCTCGTGGCAAGATGGAATGGGTAAGCACCACAACAGGAGTATAAAACCCCAGA